ATTTTCTGGATTTTTTTTTCTCATTTTGTCTGTCATAGTTGACGTGTACCTATGATGAAAATTACAGGCCTTTCTCATATTTTTAAGTGGGAGAACTTGCACAATTGGTGGCTGACTAAATACTTTTTTTCCCCACTGTACATATATGGACAAGCAATGACAGAGCGGCATGGACTAAGATACAGTAGAATATTATAGAATAAAATGCAGTATATACATATGAGATGAGTAGTGCAAGATATGTAAACAGTATTAAAGTGACTAGTGTTCCATTTCTTAAAGTGGCCAGTGATTTCAATAGGCAGCAGCAGCCTCTAATGTGCTAGTGATGGCTATTTAACAGTCTGATGGCCTTGAGATAGAAGCTGTTTTTCATTCGCTCTGTCCCAGCTTTTATGCACCTGTACTGACCTCGCCTTCAGGATGATAGCGGGGTGAACAGGCAGTGGCGTATATTGATCCTTGAGATCAATATACGCAATTAGCCTGGGGACAAGGTTAGTGCGTAATTAGTTTTTTTTCTTGGGCATCCCTTTACTTTTGAGTAGTTGTCCCCCACGATGAAATCGGGGAGGGGACTGTGGACCGGTCTCCGTCCGTTGGTACGTTCGTCACACGCGATATCTCAGACAGCACTGGCCCAATTTGGACGAAACTTGGGTGAATGATGCGTCTTGCCATAGAGATCCAGCATTTACAAAATTAGACTGAGTGGCTATATAGTGGTGCTATAACAAGCGATTGAAAATGCTAACTTTGAAAGGTCACGCACCTTACCCCGTTTTGACCTAAAGTCATGAAATTCGGTACATACAGTTGAAGTCGGAAGTTTACATACACTTAGGTTGAAGTCATTAAAACTCATTTTTCAACCACTCCACAAATTTCTTGTTAACCAACTATAGTTTTGGCAAGTCGGTTAGGACATCTACTTTGTGCATGACAAGTAATTTTTCCAACAATTGTTTACAGACCGATTATTTCACTTATAGTTCACTGTATCACAATTCCAGTGGGTCAGAAGTTTACATACACTAAATTGACTGTGCCTTTAAACAGCTTGGAAAATTCCAGAAAATGATGTCATGGCTTTAGAAGCTTCTGATAGGCTAATTGACATAATTTGAGTCAATTGGAGGTGTACCTTTGGATTTATTTTAAGGCCTACCTTCAAACTCAGTGCCTCTTTGCTTAACATCATGGGAAAATCAAAAGAAATCTGTGGGGGTGCTTTGCTGCAGGAGGGACTGGTGCACTTCACAAAATAGATGGCATCATGAGGAAAGAAAATTATGTGGATATATTGAAGCAACATCTCAAGACATCAGTCAGGAAGTTAAAGCTTGGTCGCAAATGGGTCTTCCAACTGGACAATGACCCCAAGCATACTTCCAAAGTTGTGGCAAAATGGCTTAAGGACAACAAAGTCAAGGTATTAGAGTGGCCATTACAAAGTCCTGACCTCAATCCTATAGACAATTTGTGGGCAGAACTGAAAAATCGTGTGCGAGCAAGGAGGCCTACAAACCTGACTCAGTTACACCAGCTCTGTCAGGAGGAATGGGCCAAGATTCACCCAACTTATTGTGGGAAGCTTGTGGAAGGCTACTCAAAACTTTTGACACAAGTTAAACAATTTAAAGGCAATGCTACCAAATACTAATTGAGTGTATGTAAACTTCTGACCCACAGGGAATGTGATGAAAGAATTAAAAGCTGCAATAAATCATTCTCTCTACTATTATTCTGACATTTCACATTCTTAAAATAAAGTGACCCAAGACAGGGAATTTTACTAGGATTAAATGTCAGGAATTGTGAAAAACTGAGTTTAGATATATTTGGCTAAGGTGTATGTAAACTTCCGACTTCAACTATATGTCCCTCCTCACAATGACCCATAAGATCCGCCATTATGGATTGTCCACCATTTAGAATTTTGTGAAAAACACTTAAAACGCTAGTCATCTGGCACCGAATGACCGATCTGCACGAAACCTGAAATGTGGCATCTATGGACAAAGGTCTCAACACAATATTTTCCAGACTAGTACCTAAAACAACATTGCCGCTTTTGACCAATAAACATTCACATGGGCGTGGTCTGGCACACAAAGGCATATAAATCAGTCACAGATTTTCGCAAACAATGTCAAGACTCAACATATGCAAGAACATTCATATCGACCACATGGCAGCACTATAACGGCACATGTTTTGTTACCATCAGTATAGTCTAGTTTGAATTGTTGTCCCTAATTGGCACAAGGGAGGGGTGCTGCATCATTCGTGGGGGACAACATGTTTACTGTTGCCTTGTTTTATATTGACATGGTAAAAAGTTAAACATTTTACTATACCAACAACCAAATAATTTTTGTTTAATATTCAAAATGAAATAGAAAACTCTCTGAAGCCAGTAGCACCCAATTGTGAGTTATCAAGCTTACTTGCTATATGCACACATAGTATGTGTGGCAGTCTGGCAGACTGCCAAATGCTGTTAACATGAAAACTTAAACAATGCCTTCTAAGGAGAACTACAGTATAAAATAAAGACAATGACATGGAGTACAAATGGCTGTCATTGGAAATCTTGAACCGAACACACCTAACTAGGGAATAGGCAACATATTATATCCCTCAGATGAAACCCAGTACAGGAGTTTGGTCATGACTGGTAACACCTCATGCAGCACCAAGATGTGACGTCCAGTGCTCTATATGGAAGGAAAACGAATAGGCAATTTGGATGCAGGACGTTGATATGTCTAAAATCTAAAGAATTGGCTTGACTAATGGGGGTCAACTGCTTCTTAGTGATTATATCAGTAAGTCATGGTGAGCCCAAACAGTGCATGGTCAGTATCAACGCATGCAAACGTTTAAACAACACCTTCTAGGGAGACCTACAGTATACAGTATTATATCATCTGACAAAGACCATGAATGGAATTCAAATGGTCCATTTTCAATACTAAACTGAAAGTGAACACACCATACTGAGGGTATACATACTGTATATACCACTCAGATGAAACATAACCTAATCTGTTTATTCACTCACCGGCCAGTTTATTAGGTACACCCATCTAGTACCGGGTCGGACCCTCCTTTGCCTCCAGAACAGCCTGAATTAGTCGGGGCATTCTACAAGGTGTCGGAAATGTTCCACAGGGATGTTGGTCCATGCTAACGCGATGGCATCACGCAGTTGCTGCAGATTGGACGGCGGTACATTGATGCTGTGAACAGTCCGTTCAATCTCATCCCAAAGGTGCTCTATTGGGTTGAAGTCTGAGGACTGCGCAGGCCACTCAAGTAAATTGAACTCGCTGTCATGTTCCAGGCAATATTTTTCCACTCCTCAATGCCCACGGGAGCCACTTCTTCTTGTTTTTAGCTGATAGGAGTGGAACCCGGTGTGGTCGTCTGCTGCTATAGCGCACCCGTGACAAGGATCAACGAGTTGTGCATTCTGAGATGCCGTTCTGCACACCACTGTTGTACTGCACCATTATTTGTCTGTTTGTGGCATGCCTGTTAGCATGCACGATTCTTGCCATTCTCCTTCAACCTCTCTCATCAACGAGCTGTTTTTCGCCCACAGGACTGCCGCTGAATGGATGTTTTTTGTTTTTCGTACCATTCTCGGTAAACCCTAGACACAGCCACAAGAGCATTAGTGAGGTCGGGCACTGATGTTGGGCGATTAGGCCTGGCTCACTGTCGGTGATCCAATTCATAACAAAGGTGTTTGATGGGGTTGAGGTCAGGGTTCTGTGCAGGCCAGTCAAGTTCTTCCACAAATGTCTCAACAAACCATTTCTGTATGGACTTTGCTTTGTGCACGGGGGCATTGTCATGCTGAAAAAAGAAAGGGCCTTCCCAAAACTGTTGCCACAAAGTTGGAAGCACAGAATCGTCTAGAATGTAATTGAATACTATAGCGTTAAGATTTCCCTTTACTGGAACTAAGGGGTCTAGCCCGAACAATGAAAAACAGCCCCAGACCATTTTACCTCCTCCACCAAACTTTACAGTTGGCACTATGCATTGGGGCAGGTAGCGTTCTCCTGGCATCCGCCAAACCAAGATTTGTTTGTCGGACTGCCAGATGGTGAAGCATAATTCATCACTCCAGAGAACGCGTTTCCACTGCTCCAGAGTCCAATGGCGGCGAGCTTTACACCACTCCAGCCGACGCTTGGCGTTGTGCAAGGTGATCTTAGGCTTGTTTGTTGCTGATTGGCCATGGAAACGGATTTCATGAAGCTTCTCACGAACAGCTCTTGTGCTGATGTTGCTTCCAGAGGCAGTTTGGAACTCGGTAGTGAGTGTTGATTTTTACACACTACACGCCTCAGCACTCTGCGGTCCCGTTCTGTCAGCACTTACAGTTGGCCCGGGGAAGCTCTAACAGGGAAGAAATTTGATGAACTGACTTGTTGGAAAGGTGGTATCCTATTAAGGTGCCACGTTGAAAGTCACTGAGCTCTTCAGTAAGGCCATTATACTGCAAATATTAGTCTATGGAGATGCCCATAGCTGTGTGCTCGATTTTATACACCTGCCATCAATGGGTGTGGCTGAAATAGCCGAATCCACTAATTTGAAGGGGTGTCCACATACTTTTGTATATATAGTGTATTTACATAATTTGGGAGTTGATCCAGTCCATCCACAGTCTGGGTTTTGCTGTTGAGATGTTAACATCAACACAGACGCCCCACTGGGTATGATACATCTATTAGGACCAGATTGCTGGGCGTCACGAGTGCATTTTCAGGTTTTTCCATTCACGGGATATTTCAAAGATTGATGTCAATGTAGGCTATTGAACAGAAATCATGAACATGAAACAGCGATTTTACAAGAGAAAATACATTTGGCAACATCTGCTTGGATTTGAATGGACTCTCAAGAAATAAGGAGCATCTATCAACAACAAAAAGGAACAAATAGCGCGCATTGGATCGCCTTCTTTTGGAACGGAAAACATGAACGATTCATATAATTTCACTACACACACTGTGCCTGACAAGTCAGCTGCAGCGATGGCTTTACCTGTATTTATGTTTGCAGTTGGTGTCATTGGAAATATAATAGCAATAGCCGCTCTATCTGGATCTAAGCAAGGGCGCAAATCGTCCGCGTTCTTCGCCCTAGTTTGCGGTTTGGCTGTCACCGATCTTCTTGGAACTTGTCTGGCCAGCCCAATCACTATAGCCACTTACCTCGATAAAAATGTGCTATATGACCGTCATCTTTGTGAATTCCATTCCTTTTTGTTGCTGTTCTTCGGAGTGGCTGGACTAAGTATTATATGCGCAATGTCTGCTGAGCGCTACCTCGCAATATGCTTCCCTTACACATACCAAAGATGGGGAATTGGCCAACATTTTGCGCGCAAGTGCTTGTTTTGCATTTATCTCACCAACATTGTATTTTGTTGTCTCCCAGTGATGGGTATGACTGAAAGCATGAGCCAGCCCTCCAAAACCTGGTGCTTCATCAACTGGATGGCTCATGAGCCGTTGTCTGCAGCCTATTCGTTTTTATATGCCAGTGTGAGTTTTCTACTCATATTGATGACGATAGTCCTCAACTTTGCTGTTTGTGGCACTCTATTGATAATGCATCGCAAGAAAATCCAAAGTCCAGTTACAAGAGGGAGCACACGGGCGCGTTGGACAGCGCTTTCCTCCGGCGTGGAAGCCCAAATGATGACGGTGCTCATGGTGACCTCCGTGGTGGTTTTAGGTTGCTCAGCCCCGCTGGTGGTAAGAAACGTCTTCATATTTTATATGTTTGTTTAGTTTGTTTAAGAGGAAAGCAGTAGGTCTAATGGGCATATATCTTGTTATTCTGTTGTAGGTGCGCGTATTTGCTAACCAGATATCACGGGAAGATAATTCCCATGCAGATTTGAAGGCTATTCGGATTGCCGCCGTCAACGCCATCCTTGACCCTTGGATCTACATTCTGCTGAGAAGGACTCTGTTCAGTAAGATTGGGAGATTCTCTAAACGGGTTTACATTAGTCGAAAAGGCAAATAACCCATGTTACCAGTCAAATCGTCACAAAGAACTTTGCACTACCAAGGAGATATTACAAACACCCATGTATTCACACACCTCCGTGAAGCACTGTGCAGCAGCACCAACATCAACCAACTGTCAGTCAGTCTCCAGGTGAGCCCACATCACGCAGGGGGGACAAACATACCTGCGGAAAGTAGGGATGCTGAGGGTGCTGCAGCACCCCCTGAAAAATCAGAATTTAAAAAAACAGTGCATTCGGAAAGTATTCAGAACACTTGACATTTTCCACATTTTGTTACCTTACAACCTTATTCTAAAATGGATTAAATTGTTTTTTCCACTCATCAATCTACACACAATACCCCATAATGACAAAGCAAAAACAAGTTTAGAAATGTTTGCAAATTTATAAAATAAAAAAAAACAGAAATATGACATTATTATTCAGACCCTTTACTCAGTACTTTGTTGAAGCACCTTTGGCAGTGATTACAGCCTCGAGTCTTCTTGGGTATGACGCTACAAGCTTGGCACACCTGTATTTAGGGAGATTCTCCCATTCTTCTCTGCAGATCCTCTCAAACTCTGTCAGGTTGGATGGGGAGCGTCGCTGCACAGATATTTTCAGGTCTCTCCAGAGATGTTAGATCGGGTTCAAATCCGGGCTCTGGCTGGGCCACTCAAGGACATTCAGAGACTTGTCCGGAAGCCACTCCTGCATTGTCTTGGCTGTGTGCTTAGGGTCGTTGTCCTGTTGGAAGGTGAACCTTCGCCCCCAGTCTGATGTCCTGAGTGCTCTGGAGCAGGTTTTCATCAAGGATCTCTCTGGACTTTGCTCCGTTCATCTTTCTCTCGATCCTGACTAGTCTCCCAGTCCCTGCCACTGAAAAACATCCCCACAGCATGACGCTGCCACCACAATGCTTCACCGTAGGGATGGTGCCAGGTTTCCTCCAGACGTGACGCTTGGCATTCAGGCCAAAGAGTTCAATCTTGGTTTTGTCAGACCCTAGAAAATTGTTTTTCATGGTCAGTCCTTTAGGTGCCTTTTGGCAAACTCCAAGCGGGCTGTCAGAGTGACCATCCGGTTCTTGGTCATCTCCCTGACCAAGGCCCTTCTCCCCCGATTGCTCAGTTTGGCCTGCGGGCAGCTCTAGAAAGACTCTTGGTGGTTCCAAACTTCTTCCATTTAAGAATGATGGAGGCCACTGTGTTCTTGGGGACATTCAATGCTGCAGAAATGTTTTGGTACCCTTCCCCAGACCTCTGCCTCGACACAATCCTGTCTCGGAGCTCTTCGGACAATTCCTTTCTACCTCATGGCTTGGTTTTTGCTCTGACATGCACTGTCAACTGTGGGATGTTATATAGACAGGTGTGTGCCTTTTCAAATCATGTCCATTCAATTGAATTTACCACAGGTGGACTCCAATCAAGTTGTAGCAATATCTCAAGGATGATCAATGGAAACAGTATGCACCTGAGTTCAATTTAGCATATCATAGCAAAGGGTCTAAATACTTATGTAAATAAGGTATTTCTGTTTATTTTAATTTTATAAATTTGCTAACATTTCTAAAAACCTGTTTTCACTTTGTCATTATGGGGTATTGTGTGTAGATTTATGAGATTATTAAAAAAAAAATCCATTTTAGAATAAGGCTGTAACATAATAAAATGTGGAAAAAGTCAAAGGGGTCTGAACACTTTCCGAATGCACTGTATACATAAATATAAAAATTATGTATTTTTTTTTTGTGGACTGATATAGACATCTGTAGCGGGACTAAAACGTTTTTTTCAGTATCTCTGCTTTGGCAAAAAAGGTAGTTGTATAATTAAGAACAGTATCTTGCAGGATTCAATAGTTGGAATTGTAAGAGTTGTTGCCCTGTCCCTTTCTCTGCAATTGTCATTCTAATGGAATCCAGAAAGAACAAAACCCTGTCCTCAAACATTTACATCAAAAGGTACAAAGTTATGGAAAAACACACAACATCCACATCAAATAAAATATTTTTCTTGATCAAATAACATGGGAAAAACCCACTTTTTGTGCAGTATTAATTTATCATCCTTACAAACTACTTAATGTAAGTTACTGTATTGTACATAGGCTGGTCATCTAGGTTTGTACCTGTAGACTTCTCCATCACCATGAAGAAAAACAATGCACAATACAGTAATTGATTACAGTGATACATCAAGTGGTTTGTGATGATGTGGCTCAGTTGGTAGAGCATGGCGCTTGCTTGGTTGTGGGTTCGGTTCCCACGGGGGACCAGTACGAAAAAGTATGAAAATGTATGCACTCACTACTGTAAATTGCTCTGGATAAGAGTGTCTACTGAAAAAGAATGAATAAACCATTTCAGTTTTCACATAGAAATAAGTTGCATTTGCAAAGTATTTCAAGCACGCCAATACTCCCCACTTCCCCCAGATTGTCCGATATCGAGTCTCACTGAATGTGTTGTGTCTAAATAATTGATGATGGTTGGAAATTCACCTGTTTTCATTATAGAACTTTCAAAAACATTAGGTAAATTGACTAAATTAGACAATCAATGTTAACATTTCAATTAAAGATAGGTCTTGTGCTCAGGCACTTGGCCTATCACAGCGAGGTATAAGTATTACACCAACAATAACTTTCACAATGTGAAGTTAAAGAGACCAAGAGTTATCCGTTTTATAAAACACCAGGTGTGATTAGTGCTGCAAACCAATTCAGACTTTCTAATCCAGGGATCATCAACTAGATTCAGTCGCGGGACTATTTTTTTCTTGAGAGGATGGTCGGGGGCCGGAACATAATTACAAATAATTTGTAGACCGCAAATTGACCGCAAGAAGCCCAAACAGACATAATGTTTGACTAAAACATAATCATTTCAAACCTTGCTTACATTTGTATACAATCATGTGTCTCTCTATTATGGTGGGAATACAGATTTCTTAAATTAAAATCACGTGGAGCTCATTTCCTGGAGTTTTTACATGTCCAACATATATATATATATAAATATATATGTTGGACATGTAAAAACTCCAGGAAATGAGCTCCACGTGATATATATATATATATTATTGTTTTTGTTCAGAAAACTGGGGGGGGGGGGGGAAATAAAAAACAGAGTTGGTCTAAGGAATTATCAGGTTTTGAGTCTGTTGAGCTTGGTCTGAGATGACCTGTTTTTCCCCATTGAGGCCCCAGAGAAGGGTATCCATTACTTGTTAAACCAAGACCCTTGCTAATAGTGTGATTAGTCACTGCATAACAGACCCTTGAGGGGCTAAGGGATCAAGCTCAAAGGCAGTTAATGCACAAGATGTAGAGTTTAATTTCCCGGATCTACCCCTCACCAACCCTAAAAAAGCACACGTTTCACAGCAGACACTTTGGTGCCTCTTCTGCAGAGATGTAAACAACCTCAGAGGAGCAGGAGGATGTAACCTGGACTCAGGGGTAGACGTAACGTAGTAAATGTAAATTTGTCTCCCTCCATCTAGTATACAAAACATTAGGAACACCTGCTCTTTCCATGATATAGACTGACCAGGTGAATCCAGGTGAAAACTATGATCCCTTATTGATGTCACCTGTTAAATCCAATTCAATCAGTGTAGTTGAAGGGGAGGACATTTAAAGCCTTGAGACAATTGAGACATGGATTGTATGTGTGACATTCAGTGAGGGTGAATGGGCAAGACAAAATATTTAAGTGCCTTTGAACAGGGTATGGTAGTAGTTGCCAGGCGCACCGGTTTGAGTGTCGAGAACTGCAATGCTGCTGGGTTTTTTACCCTCAACAGTTTCCCGTGTGTATCAAGAATGGTCCACCACCCAAAGGACATCCAGCCGATTTGACACAACTGTAGGAAGCATTGAAGTCAACATGGGCCAGCATCCCTGTGGAACGCTTTCGACACCTTGTAGAGTCCATGCCCTGATGAATTGAGGCTGTTCTGAGGTCAAAAGGGGGTGCAATGCAATATTAGGAAGCTGTTCCTAATGTTTTGTACACTCAGTGTACGTTACGTTTCATTTGGTACAGTATGTATTAATTTGTGGATGCCAATCAACCATTTCATATATGTTACGAATTACAGTTAATATGATGTTACAAATTCCTATTTGTTGTGGCTAACATTAGCTAGGTGGCTAAGTAGTTGCAAAGTAGCAACAAAAAAAGTGAGTACAATAGTTGACATTCGTGTTATACGCCCGACCAACCGCCTTACTTTCATTTTTGGCTTAAGTAACCTTCTGTCTTATGTAACCATACCAAACGTAACATATCATACTAATGAGTGTCCAGGATTTATGTTACGTCTAGTCTATCCCACTGGGCACACACTAGTGTAACCAATGTGGAATAGACGTTGAATTGACGTCTGTGCCCAGTGGGATGAGACCAGGCTGGATTTCCCCACGTTTCTCTCCTCTAAAACTTGACTGGACTGCAGCTATGCATCTCAGGAGTGCTGTTACCCCCCAAAAAAAATCTGTCTTTGAACTTTGTCATGGGAGAGTGACTCATCCCAAGGGAGATGACTAGTTCCTCTAGGTTGTGTTCTTATTCTCTGCCCGTTCACCCAGAAGTGTGCACTTGTTCACTTCCCCTCATGCTTTAGGGGCTATATTACCAAACTGTTAAATAACAATAAAAAGTACAAGATTGGTGAAAGCAGCTGGAGGGACTGCTGTTCCTATTAAATCCATGTGAGGAAATGTACTGGTGCATTATTTGTGAGAAGGGTAGAGTGGAACAGCAGCCGCAAGTCTTTGTGTAATAGTTGTTAGATAAATGTGTGGGTAAAGTCTCCACCTCTCCATTTCTGAATTCCCTAGCCCAGCATTTCCCAAACTCGGTCCTCGGGACCCCAAGGGGTGCACATTTTGGTTTTTGCCTTAACACTACACAGCGGACTCAAATGAGCAAAGCATGATGATTAGTTGATTATTTGAATCAGCTGTGTAGTGCAAAAATCAAAACGTGCACTCCGTGGGGTCCCGAGGATAGTTTGGGAAACCCTGCGCCTAGCCCCTATGGCACTGTAAACATTGGATAGGTGTCGCTACAAAATGGATACAAAGCTACATTTCCACTTAGTGGGTAGTTAATTCCACCAATACAAAGTCCTATTGTCCTCATCCAAGCAATCATCAAATACCCATGCCATGCCTGAAAGTAAGAAATGGAGGGGAAATATTATGAACTTGTGAGAATTCTATTCTTATTCTTGACACAAGAGGGAGCACTAGTTTTATATTGGATAGGCTGAAGAGTTGAGTTAAAATTCATACTAGCCCAGATTAAACAATTGAAAACAATGCATTGAACATAGATAATCATCATTATAATTACTGTCAACAATAACAATAGTACATATACGTTATAGTAATAGATTTGAGACTCACGTTCATCCTTTACCAATGTAAGCACCCACCTGTCCAAAGTCAAATTAATTTTTACTATGCATTCACCTTTATCAAGAAAATTAAATCATACATTCATTTCACAATGCATTTATTTTTTAGACATTTAAAAATAGTATTTACTAAACGTAAGAAGACAACACTGTGCATGGTTGCACTTATGTATACTTTTCTGTACCTAGACACCATAAATAAAAATCTATAAAACATTGGTTCAGTAAAAATGCAGTTTTTCAAGATCCTTTAAAACACACTTTTTTTTGCATTTATACAACTTTACAAAGCAAACCCCACACATCCAAATGTACATTCCAGTAAATAACCTCATAGCAAATACCGTCCCAGAGCTAACAAAGTTTCTCAAAGTTCATGTTCAAAATGTTATCCATTAGCTTACTGTATAGACAAATTAGGCTTTATGTTAAATTAAACATATCCATAATGCACATCAGAATCCATCACTCCGTGCTACTGCATCAAAAAATAAGAGTAAAACAAATCCTTGTGTTGCACTTGATCCAGGTAGCGCCTTTCATTTGGCACCTCGCATAAGGACGTGACAAACTCAACCATAGATTTAAGAAGAGACCTTGAGACAGTTGAACAAAATGACATACAATAATAAAAAATAAGTAGCAAAATAATACAATGGGATCAAAGTTTGCTTAGCACAGCTCTTCATACATCTTATGTTGTGGGGTGACAGAAAAATAATTTTGTCTAATCCAAATCGTGGCTCCAACATTTGATCTTCCTTCCACAAATAAAACATTGCCGTACTTTATAAGCCAAGGTGAAATCAACCTTTATACAAGTTATCAGATTTCTACAAATAGTTTTCCCTGTAAAGACGATTCAATAGACAATGATAGGAAAAAGTCATGTCAAAACTCATTCATGAGGACATGCAGATAACAGGCATAAATGACAGTCAAATGTAATCAAATCCCCATGGTTACCTATAGCCTAATCACCACGCCAGTATCAATTTCATTACATCACCAGACCAAACCTGCCCAACTAAATGATATGGGAGTTTCACTAAATGGACTATGATAAACTTGGAACTACCTGAGAATTCCACACAAGCTCACGCATAACACAGTTCCTCAAGTGTGTAAATACACATGGACCCTCTCTGTGCAGCCATCTATAACTATACAGCACATACCGTAGGGGGATATTCAAATACATTATTTATATTTATGGTAAACAGGAAAATTGCTTTTTCTAAATCTCAGCATATAGTTTGTTGCCGGCCAGTCGCTGAAAATGCAATAAATAAAAGGTTAGAGCCAAACTTTCCTGCCATTAGGAAACAGCAAAGAAATTATCCACTTAAAATGCTTGAATGTGGTACAACAAATTGAAACGCGCAAACTCAAATGAAAAAGTATTTATATTCAACAAGGATTACATTTAAGTTAATGGGGATTGATAACATTTTACTAGAGCTTCACACAAAAGTTAGTTACAGTCTCTGTCACATCTTTCATTGATTTACAAAGTGCAAACCTTAACCAGTTCAGGTGCTTCACACCGGCTTTGAAGAACAGCTATTGTTCCCTGTAGGCTAAATTACTCACATGCAGGGGGAAATACTATTCCTTATTCGGAACATGATTTTAAGTGTGAATATTAGGAACAAAATGACAGCCAGGCTAAACAAGTGGAGTCTGACACTTAAGCCTGAACCAATAGGTCTGCCACATTAAACTAGGTCCATCTCAGTTACCTGACCCTTCTACCCACATATTACACAGGTATTACCAGATCAGATATGAATTGATTAAATTACCGTGATGTAAATATGAAGAAAATAAATGATAGAAAAAAATATGTTTTATTGTCACGCACACTGGCTAGGAGCAGTGAAATGTGTTGTTTTACAGGGTCAGCCATAGTAGTACGGCACCTCTGGAGCAAAATAGGGTTAAGGGCCTTGCTCAAGGGCACAGACAGATTTTTCACCTTTTCGGATTGGGTATTCAAACAAGCGACCTGTCTGTACCTACAACCGATTACATACATTTTCATGCCTCCATCACTAGTTAAAGACAAACCAGAAAATGTCATCAGGTCAAACGGTTTTACATGTATAGGACAAACATTGCCAATCATTAATGTAAAATGTTCAGGTCTTCTGTGATAAAATTGGGGTCAATGTAACTGAGGGCAAGCCTGATTCACAAGGCATTATGGGCATGGTAAACATTTCATGGTCTTTGATATACAGTTAAAGTTGTGATGTATTTATTTTTAACTACGCTATTGTAGCTACAGTAACAATTATTCCCACGTTAGCAAACTCCCACAGAAAAAAATAATACAAGAACATCCCTTCCTTAGCAAGCAAACAAAAAACAAACAGATAGTTCACTCCAAAATCTAAATGTCAAACGAGTCCATGTTCCAAGCCATCTGTTACGTAGATCCAGTGGTATGCCTCAATCCCAAATTAACTGGAAAGATTGATACTATCTGCAACAGTTGACGAGGGACAGGGTTGGAAGTGGACGACTTTTGGGGTCTGAAAACATCTGACAAACTTTGATTTTGACTTAACTATCCCTTTTAAGTGTTCATATCAAAATAAATACAACACAAGGAGGTGAAGAGAAGATGTTAGAGAACGTGTTTGGGACAAAACGCTGGCCAACTCATGACTGATACTTCACTCTTCCGCCAATACGACAGTCCTTGCCTTCCTTTTTGTTAGAGGTGGTTTAAGAATGCTGCTGGAAACAAATACAATATGTCCTTGGAGGAATCCACCAGCCTAAACCACATACTGGTGGTTGGAGGCGCCGTAGTTCATTGTATAGGCCTGCCGGCTGTACTGGAAGTGGTCGGTCAGCACGTTGCTTCGACCATACTGAATGTCTGAACCTTGGGAGAAAGGCACTGAACCATTGGGCTGCGTCTTGTCCACTCCCAAGTTGTCGAAGGACATCATGTCCTGCTTGGAGGAAGGCAGCAGCTTTTTCTTAGCTTCCTTGTTGCCGTCATATTTCGCCTGTTGGCAGTGAAGAGAAGGGAATAGCTTAGTGTAGCACATAACAAAGGATAACAAAAAAATACACATTTATGTAAATTAATCTGTGTGATTTCCCAAAGTTAAATGTGGTAAACTTTCCTCAGTGGGGGAGGGTTTCAGAGCACCTTACAGAGCCACTGTTAGAAACGTTTATTTTTAATGCAGCGTGAGCACTGTGGCAGCAACAAGCACAATTGCAAGTTTGGTTGTCATTTAAGACAGTTGAGTGACTTTAAATATCAAATTGCATGATGTGAGGAGTGTAGCGCAATACATTGGGTTATTTAAAATCACATCTGGGGCTAGGTTTAAAACCAATTGGCAATAGATTTTCATGCGAATATTCAAAAATCTGCATAAAGACAATATGCACATTTTCCCACCAGTGGTGTGTTTCCACAAAATTGACTTGTTGCGGATGATGTAGTGCACATAAAAAGTGTTTCCATCGCATTTTCAACTCTACAGATCATTTTGTCACAAAAAGTGTTGCATTAATTAGCAAATGTGCCCACTCTGGTCTTGGCAGGTACACTCTATCCAACAGCTGGCAGATACAGTGCGGGTAGGCTAGCCTACATGATGACATTATTATGGATAGAGGAAGATTATTTGTATTTGTCAAATGGCAGCCAAGCATCGATCATCATGTCACCAGAATAAGAGCCTCTGTATTTATTGGAAAGCAGCATCAAGCTCATCAGAATGCACTTTCACCACCCTGTGAAGTTAATCATAATTTATTTCATCTGTAGCCTAATACATTCAGGGCCCTATAAAATCTGTGATACTGAGACAGCGGACGGAATCACTGAATCCAGACATTAAAACGTAATTCAACATTCAAAAATGTATTGAACTTAGTAGGGAACCAACTAAATGAATTGAAAATTAATTAAATTTGCAGAAGTTTATCATAAGACATGAACAGAACGCATCAGTGATATGTATTTCCTGCAACTTTCTGTAGAGGCAACGAGAATTCCCCTGTCTGTGTATGCGCAGCTACCACTGTGTAGCCGTTAACGATGATGCTAATGAAAAATCTTCTGCTAGATGGAAAGGCTTTCCCAAAAACTACAAAGTAGCCTATGCTTGCTTACCTGGCAGAATGAAATCATTATTTGCATCAATCCAGTGGGTATTTGTTTTGCAAACTCTACCATCACATGTGCGCTACAAAAACATCACTAAATAACAGCCTCTTGCTAGGTGTGGACTGGAATTAAAGGGAACTACATCAAAAAATCGACATTTCTAAACATTTTCCCAGACCTCAAGTGGTCTCTTGGTGTGGTTTAAGCATTGTTGTGGACTTAGAACATCCAATTTAGTTGTTTTCTATTTTAAAAAGTGTGATTTTGAGTGAAAGCCTGAAAAAAAAAGAAAAAAAAAAAAAGGGTAAAACGGAAACCTGGAGAAAGCCCCCCCGGAGAAAACGGAATCAGACAAAAACTAAAACTGATTTTATAGGGCCCAATAAACGGCATGCTTTCCTGAGACATTGTGGGAGGACCACACAACATATCATTGCATGAGTCCAAGTTTACTTCGATATGATATTTGCACATAAAGGCATTTTCACCGCCATCTGTCGCATAATTAAGTTGACCGACGTAAAAAGATTCCACCATGTCTAATGAAAAAATAGTCTATTGACATTTATGAAATTGTATCGACATTTCCTGTTTCCATCAGCCCGGTGGTTAATTTATTTTATGCGTCAGGTAATTCATCCACATGAAATGGTTGGATGGAAACCTGGTTCGGGATGACATATATATATATTTTTTTACATACATGTAGCTATACAGACGCCGCGTAATACAATAGAATCTGACATTTTCCAAAACGTTGGCCACCAACAACTAATTCAACTTAGTTCATGAAATAGATGAACAATTAAATCAAACTCAGCATTAAGCATGCAGGTGCATAATATAGCCCAAATGGGAGATGTAAAGCCATGTGTGACTCTTTTCAGGAAACTAGGCGTATGTCGCAAGTCAGTACTTCACAGGAGAGGCATTTGAACGTGAATATTTATTTTTCTATCAAAATACGTTATACGCAAATACAAATAAAATTGTTAAATTACAAACCTAGTTGGTTTAGCCACGGAAAAAGACAGGAACCTTCCCACTAGCCATGATAATGGATGGGCTGGACATGCCGGGAGATGAGTTTGGATTGGTCTGCCATGTAGCATGCTTCTGTGTGTAACGTGAGCTGTTCAGTATGTGTTGATAGTCCTTTCTACCACACCGTTTTTGAAAGATTTAACATTAGCCATCGAGAACTACAAAAGTTTTGCTACTTTTCTCAACAACACTGATGCGCTGAATTTAGCAAGAGCTATCGACAGATCAGTTGGAAAAAGTGATGGGCTACCTTCTGCACACGCCACGGTCAGTGTGAACCGGAGTGACTTGACAACACTGGCCAAACAAGATGTAGCTACAAACAAGAGAGTTAAATGGTTCCAGTCTGCCGTGAAGCGTTCATCCATGTATACAGGTAAGAGTCTAACTACATTTTCAGATATAAACGTTTCTAATTTTGTCAGAAAGTCGTTGTTATTGCATGTTAAAGCATACTGTTAGTTAGCTAGCGAACATTAGCTTGCTGGCTCGCTAGCTAACATTATGTGTATGATCTGTGTAGTAACATTATTCAAATCAGAAATCCATTTGCATTGCTAGTTATAGCCTAATGTTAGCTAGCTAACATTGAACCTAGTTTGTTAGCTTAAGCTACCTTCAGATTCATACTACAGCTATGACAATGTTTGTATTGGTAGTAGTACGAGTTAGGATTATGCCGGTTCGTTGTTTTAGCTAGCTACATGTCTAAACAATAGACTCCACTTCGGCCTGATTATTGCATGACCCATCAAATTAGCCAGGTGGTTCTGGGGGTGATTATGGCCATCTATTGTATTTCATGAACATGTGTACATGTCTAGACAATAGTGACCCATCCACTTAGCTAGATGTGGCTGGGGGGGATGGTTATTGCGTTTCCTTCACGACCCATCAATTTAGACAAGTGTGTCGGGTAAGCATCATCTAATAATTATAAAATGCTTATAAAATATTTTTATCTGGCCTTAGCCCCACCCATCTCTTTAAGGATTCACATGAGGCCATGTGGTAACCATTTCAGTGTACCGTTTACACCTTCTGTATCCTGTGCATGTGACAAATAAACATATATTTTATTTGATATAGCATGTGTTTAGCACATGGCCTCACATGTGAATCCTTAAAGAGATGGGTGGAGCTAAGGCTTACGAGGGTGTGAACGATGCTGAATGGGTGTAGACAAAGAAGAGCTCTCCAGTAGGTGTACCAAAACATTCAAGAGCCATTTTCTCAAAAGTGGGATTACAAGTTTATCAACTTTGAAAGCAGAATTACTTTCCCATTGTTCCTCAACTGCAGTGTATGATATACCATTTTCTAGCTCTGAGTCTCTACTTTTATCCAATGTAAAAAACACAATTTCAAATTTTGCTACATAAGACCGAATCGAGGCGGTCGGTCGGTCACATTTGACATTTTAGTCATTTAGCAAACGCTCTCATCCAGAGCGATTTACTATTAGTGCATTTATCTTAAGATAGCGAGGTGAGACAACCACAAAAACACAGTTTTCCTCAATAAAGAAGTTATCAGCAAAGTCGGTGCTACTAGGAAAAGACAAGTGCAAGGTTATTCTTTTTATATGTGGTTGTCTCACCTTGCCATCTTAAGATGAATGCAAGAACAGTAAGTCACTCTGGATAAGAACGTTTGCTAAATGACTAAAATGTCAAATGGCTTTACGTCTCCCATTTGGGCTATATTATGCACATGCATGCTTAATGCTGAGTTTGATATAATTGTTCATCTATTTCAAGAACTAAATTGAATTAGTTGTTGGTGGCCAAAGTGTTTGAACATTTCAGATACTATTGTACTACGCTACAGATGTCTTATTTAAGATACTATTTAAAGAGGTAGGGTTTCAGACGTTTTTGAAAGATGGACTGAGTCCAAGAGTCCTTCACACTCGCACTTCTCTTTTTTCTTACTAGCACTGATTTAGCAAACAGTGACTATTTTGAAGGTTTAACTTGCAATAATTTTGATAAGTGGTTGTTTTATCCATTTTAGTTGAATGCAGTGATTGTAATGACTGGATAAGTGCGTCTGCTAAATAACTCAAACGTAAATGTAAGCATGTCAAAGAGACTCACCTTGTTGTACAGGAAGACGCCCACTATGGCTGTCATCATGCCCATGATGTTGGTGGAGCTGACAGGGTTGCGTAGCATTAGGAGCGATATGCTGATGACCATGATCCTCTTGGTGGCGTTGGCCACAGCATAGCTCAGCGGGCTGACCAGGTTGAGGACACTGAAGGCAATGACGTTCTGGGCAAAGTTACAGAAGCCGCTGACCAGGAGGAGGAGGAAGGTGCCGGTCCATTCAGACATTCCCGTCTGGAGGGGTTATGCAGAGGAGGGAGAGAGAGGAGAGGGGAGAGGGGAGAGAGAGAGGGAGTGATTACTTGGATATTTGGAGAGAACAATGGGTTTAGTCATGAATTTCTAGGATCCAGGTTGTGGTCTCAATGGGACAACTGAATAAAAGGCAACCGGATACTACAGATTTTGTTGTGTGGAGGTAAATGTAGTATTAGGCAAAAGCAAGTGGATAATAAAAGTATGGTACATACTGTGTAAAAAAAGGTTTTATGGTACACACCAGAGGAAGCTGGTAGGAGGGAATCATTGTAATGGCTGGTATGGAATAAATGGAACCATATCAAACATATGGAAAACACGTTTGACTCTGTTCCATTAATTCCATTCCAGTCATTACAATGAGCCCGTCCTCCTATAGCTCCTCTCACCAGCCTCCTCTGGTACACACTGTATGACATCCTGTGGACTTGTGTATGGTACATATATAATATGTATGACACACACACACCACTACCAGTAGATGAAACACTATCATATAAGCCCATAAGCCGGACAACAAAATATCACATTATTTGACGCATAACGTATATGAACCTGTGCATACACTTTACCAAACTGAAGCACATATTATTTTAACTCACAAAATCCCCCTCAACCAAGAATGAGGAGAGGTCCACCAGAACCCACGTAGGCACCATGAAGAAAACAGCATTGAAGCCCAGTATGTTGAGAAGTCTCAGGTGGTGGATCCTCGTGTCCCGCAGCACCTAAAAAGCAATGCATATTAATTCATAGCTTTGTCATTTCTTAGGCCCACCATTGCAGAAAACAACTGTTGTTGTGTTGACCTTGGAAATCAGTGGGCAGCAAAATATACCTCAAGGCCACACAAAGACACATCATTATAAATTGAGAGGGCACAAATTCCTTGTTCGTTGAATGCTTTGGGTTTCTTCATCAACAGCATGATAATTAACAGTTGGTAATTAACAAGACATGGTTGTTAAAGTCTAACACTACAAATTCAAACAATAATTTAACTGCAGGGTTAGTAATATCAAAAGTCATTCTTAATTCTAGCGCATGTCAGTTTTCATAACACAACATTTAACAGAGTAATGTCTAATGGGGGAAATATGTCTTCCTCAAATATTGGTTGAAGGGAGGCCACATCAGCATAGTACAGGACACACCCATACTGCACATCTACAGTATGTAAAGAAAAAATACATTGAAAAGATTCACAAGGCTTCACACTCATAAGCCTTGCACTTGAGTTTTCCTTTCAAGTGTTTTCATGTTTAGTATGAGTGCTGTCTACTATATCTGCACTTGAATATTGCAAGGAATGCTTTTGCAGTGTGCATGATCCATTCCTTCAAGGGCAATACAGTATTCTATTAAATAAAACATCTTGAGTTTATTCTACAACTATTACCCAAACGCATACTTCATTCAAAAGTCCACCAGAGTTCAAAATGTGCTCTCCAGCTATACTTTTATCCATCATCTAACAACACATAAATAATAGCATTTTTCAAAGGGTGCAGACTGGTAAGACGTACCTTTTTGGAGAAGATGTTTTGCAGAGAGAAGCAGAGTGTGGCGGCCAGGGCACTGACTAACCCAGATACATCAAAGGACATTTCTGTCATGGTGGCCAGAAGCACTCCTCCGATGATGGGGATGAGAGATAGGTACACCTGAGACAGCCACAGGACAGGAGTGCAAAAGAGAAAGGGTCACACTTTATTTGGGCAGTCCAGATTTTCCATCTGTAGAGGCTCTACAGATGGTCATACTATCAACAAACGATCTGTTGATAAGCAACTGCTTGCTAAGGTTACAGTTAAGGTTACTTTTAGAATAAGGGTAAGGGTTAGGGTTGAGTTAGGGTTAGGTTAGTAGATTGTTAGTTGAAATGTTACTGATAGTCTGTAGAGTATCTACAGATGGACTATCCAAATAAAGTGTTACTAGGCCAGAGTCAGGAGGATTTTCCTAATCATGGAGGAGTCTCAAAAAGTATGGTTGAAACAATTGTCATCCATACACATGCAGCTGTTTTGCTCATTTGTCACATTCACCCTACCTCTAAATGGCTATGACACATAAATAGCTTTGTTATTGTGTAACACTACTACAGGCCCTGCAGTGTTAACATTATGTAAGAAGAGGAGGGGTACTTTTTCCTGCCTTAAAGCTGCTACCTGTAAATACACCTGCAAGGCTGGCAGTAATATGCGCCAACACACAGGCTCACATTGTGCCACATCACCATTGCTTGGACAAAATATCTTCCAAAGCTGCTTTATGTACACAATACGTTTCCTGAGTTACTCACTTTCGTCGTTTGCTTCTCCTTCATGATAATCCTTGATAACAACACAACCCATATTGGCATTGTGGCTTTGACTGTGGGGTGAAAATAAACAAAGAATGTCAGATTGGAAAATGGATCCTGTTCAGTGCTTGAATTGAGGACGGGTATTGATTGGAAAGGTAAGGAGCATGACTTTTGAGATACAGTGGTTTAAAGACTTCAGGCCCATGTGACTGTGCCTCACACCTTGTGCTTCACAGACACGCCCCTGGTAACAAAACAAAAAAAACTTGGAACTTGCATATTGCATCATCACACACCTTTTTTATGACCGTGCTTCAACCATAACTTCACGTGTCAGTTAGTCTGGTGAGACAGCAATGAGTTACAGTTACACTGTATGAGGTCTTACATCATACATTAGGTACCTAGCTAATTAGGAAGTAAAGGGCATAATACATAGGGATTGACATTAAGTGTTATCGGGGGCAAGTTAACTGTGCAGTCAGGAAACAGTAATTTGGTAGGTAGAATTTTCGCCAAATAATTTCAGCCCCCTAAACGGATCATTCTGGTTCCTCACAGTTAGTTAGGTGACAGACAATGGCATTTCCGTGTGTAAACAACTACTTTACATTTTCAGTCAAGTGACCATAATCTTCGGTTAACCAAAAAATACTTCTGACTTGCCCGATGGGCTAGTGCTGTTCAGACCTCAATTCCAAATCATGACACGGTACCATGAAGTTCTGCTTTCTCATAGTAATGAGAGCATAATTCAGATACTCATTGTGAATAATCATACTATACGCTTTTATTTAAGGATGACAAACTGCAGTCACATATTCCCCTATAGGCTGTAGCAGGTAGTTGTATTAGGCTAAGTACGCTGTAGTTGTAACTATGGACATCACATGACAGGCAAGAAGGCATCATAAGGAAGAACACAATATAAAACCTACTGTGAGCAGAAAAACGATGGTAAACTCACAGGTCTAACCATTTACTTAATGATATCTGGACCAACCACAACTCAACGGAGACTCAGCCTTACTGTTCATTGCCATTGATGCACTCACTAACTGTAAGTCCCTCTGGATAAGAGCGTCTGCTAAATGACTAAAATGTAGTGTAGCTACAAGTTTCTAGCCACTGCCACTGGCTAGGTGGGGCCCTCCCCCAAACAAAAAGGTATTCAAATAACCCAGTAGTTATATTACTAAGGGGAGACGCAAGCTCCTATGTTAATCGAAACGTGGGTAATATAATTAACAGCCTCATGCAAAGGAAGCTAATTCACTTAAAGCTTGTCTAAATTGTCCAGCACAATATACCAATTCATTCCTCATTGAGGTTGTTGCTAGCAAGCTAACATTCCATATAGCTAGTTAGAATGGCAAGTAATGATTCTGAGCTAGCTAGCCTGATTCAGAGCTCGTGCAATGCTTACCAGTGTGTGCGTAGGAAACAGGTACCTTCCATATACTGAAATGGGCCGACACAGATGCGAAGTATTTTCCAAAAGCTAAAGGGAGAATATACCATTTGAAGTATCTAGTTGGTACTTCTGTTTTGGGGACTCCCCATGCCCGCAGCAGCGGTGGAAGGAAGACGACGATTGAGAATATATGAAAAAGCGAAACGGTGACAGGATAAGGGAACCCATTTAGAATAATTTTGTTAACTACGTTGCCTCCCGAACTAACAGTATACCAACAGAAACAGAGTAAAGCTATCCGGACCCCTTCCTTGACTGGGGGACGCTCCACCGCAGCCATCTTCCAGTTCGGAGTCACCGGCGGCAGTGTATGGCAGCAAGGCCAGCAGTGAGACGTGGAGCAGCTACTATGCCGCGTTTCACACCACTCGGAAACTCAGAACCTCCGAGTTAATATTAAGTGCGTTTTTTTTGTAGAGCTTCCTTTTGGTTGATTCTGATACGTTCCAAGTGGGGAAACTCGGACATTATCTTTCTACAACGAGTTTCCAAGTCATAAAGTTCCGAGTTGTCATGAACGCGGTAGTATGTACAACGCTGAGAAAATACTCCTCGAGCCTGTTCGAGAGCATCAAACCCGTGATGTGTCATGGGTAAATTCTGACTGACTGACTGATCTACAAATAATAATGAGTCGTTATTTATGATGCAAGGTGATTTGTAGATCAGTCAGTTGGCAGTCGGCTGCACTGGCCGTGTTCAAGAGGATCAAACCGTAATGTATCATGGGTAAATTGTGACTGAATTACAAATAATAATGAGTAGTTATTTATGATCAGTCAGTCGGCAGTCGCCTGCACTGTCAGCTGAAATGTCGAACAAGCCCATTGTCGGCTGCAATGTCAAACAAACCCATAGATTTATTGCTGATTGCGTCACTTCCTGCAATCAAACCGCCTCCAAAGATTCCCCTGCTCAGACCATTCTCACTGGTTTTGACTAGATGGGATACCGGTTATGTCAGAATGGATTTTTCGTAGCAGCCGCAGGTTATGAGAATTTACGCAGCAGATTAGGATAATTAATGTAGCAGGTTAGGAGAATTAGGTTAAGGTTAGGAAAAGGGTTAGTTAAAATTCAAAACAAAAATCACCTTTAGAGGTCAATTTGACATACACTGTATCCTATCTAGCCATGATCCATTGCACTGAGCTATAAAATAATGGACCATCGCGGTATGAAGGCTCAGACAATGGTTGCTTCATTGACTGTTTAGTCGGGCACCAGATTGCTATGATGTGGTTAGCTGATACTTAAAATACCTGACCAGGCGTTGTAAGATCTGACATGCATAATAATTGACATAGTTCAACTATATGGCTCAAAGGCTGCTGATCTGATTGGTCAAAAAACCAAATCGTTTTTACAAAAATAATCAGAATTGAGCTTCCTGTGTAACTGCAGACATATCCAGAGGTGGCAAACTCATTCCATGGAGGGCCTAGTGTCTGCAGGTTTTTGGTTTTTCCTTTCAATTAAGTCCCAGACAAGGTGTCGGAGTTCCTTACTAATTAGTGCCCTTAATTCATCATTCAAGTAGAAGGGAGGAGCGAAAACCCGCAGACACTCGGCCCTCCGTGGAATGAGTTTGACACCTGTGATAGACATATTTACCATGCACCATTAAACACTTCCACGTGTTATCATGTTGCAGCTCATATGGCTGTGTAGCTGCCGACTGAAAGGGATATGAACTTGTTTTACTTTTTAAAAAACAAACATCGTTTATGTCTGGCTGTCCATACCAATATTTACTATTAAAGAAACCTCCAGTGTTGTAGATATTTACTGAATACAATTTTTTGTATTTATTTTGCATATTTTTTATGGGGCTAACATAACTTAAACATTTCCAACTGTAGTGCAGCGATAGTAGGTCCTCCTCCACCAGAGGACGTTCTATACCAGGGACTCAGAAACGTGGGAAATTATCAAACATTTTCATCTGGATAGCGCATTAAAGTCACAGGTATGTTGTAGGCTACTTTGAGAAAGACGGGCTCAAAATAGTTCCTTTTACTGCTTACAATGTGGATATTGAGTTTAAAAGTAGAGCCACTGCTGATGCGCTCGTCTGTACTGAGATGTTTGCAAAAAGACAAGAAAGTGTGTCCTGAGGCACACAGTTCCACTAAAAGGGAGAGACACTCACAATTTATGCATTTTTGTATTTTTTATTAACACATACTGTATCAACTTGTCCATTTAAAAAAAGGACTTAAGTAGCAAATATGTTCTCTTCTGCATTCCTGAACACAAAAGGCAAATTTCTGTACATTCACTAAGGCTCCGTTTGAGGAAAAACATTGTTTTCCATAAGGCAAACAATATCTAAAGGAATGGTAACAAGTATATTTCCAGCATATAAACAATTTATTTTTCAGTTTTTCCTCACAATTGCAATGTTGTAGCATCATCTGCTTTGCCATTAGAATTCATATATACTACCGGTCAAACGTTTTAGAACACCTACTCATTCAAGGGTATTATATACTTTTTTACTGTTTTCTACATTGTAGAATAATAGTGATGACATCAAAACTGTGAAATAACACATATGGAATCATGTAGTAACCAAAAAAAGTGTTAAACAAACCTAAATATATTTTATATTTGAGATTCTTCAAAATAGCCACCATTTGCCTTGATGACAGCTTTGCACACTCTTGGCATTCTCTCAACCAGCTTCACCTGGAATGCTTTTCCAACAGTCTTGAAGGAGTTCCCACATATGCTGAGCACTTGTTGGCTGCTTTTCCTTCACTCTGCGGTCCGACTCATCCCAAACCATCTCAATTTGGTTGAGGTCGGGGGATTGTGGAGGTCAGGTCATCTGATGCAGCACTCCATCACTCTCCTTCTTGGTAAAATAGCCCTTACACAGCCTGAAGGTGTGTTGGGTCATTGTCCTGTTGAAAAATAAATGATAGTCCCACTAAGTCCAAACAAGATGGGATGGCGTATCGCTGCAGAATGCTGTGGTAGCCATGCTGGTTAAATTCTAAATAAATCACAGACAGTGTCACCAGCAAAGCACCCCCACACCATACCACCTCCTCCATGCTTTACGGTGGGAAATGCACATGCGGCGATCATCCGTTCACCCACATCGCGTCTCACAAAGACACAGCGGTTGGAACCAAACATCTCCAATTTGGACTCGAGACCAAACGACAAATTTCCACCGGTCTAATGTCCATTGCTCGTGTTTCTTGGCCCAAGCAAGTCTTCTTCTTATTGGTGTCCTTTAGTAGTGGTTTCTTTGCAGCAATTTGACCATGAAGGCCTGATTTACACAGTTTCCTCTGAACAGTTGAAGTTGAGATGGGTCTGTTACTTGAACCCTGAAGCATTTATTTGGACTGCAATTTCTGAGGCTGGTAACTCTAATGAACTTATCCTCTGCATCAGTGGTAACTCTGGGTCTTCCATTCCTGTGGCGGTCCTCATGAGAGCCAGTTTATCATAGCGCTTGATGGTTTTTGCGACTGCACTTGAAGAAACATTCAAAGTTCTTGAAATGTTCCGTTTTAACTGACCTTCATGTCTTAAAGTAATGATGGACTGTCATTTCTCTTTGCTTATTTGAATGGTTTTTGCCATAATATTTACTTGGTCTTTTACCAAATAAGGCTATCTTCTGTATACCACCCCTACCTTATCGCAACACAACTGATTGGCTCAAACGCATTAAGAAGGAAAGAAATTCCACAAATTAACTTTTAACAAGGCACACCTGTTAATTGAAATGCATTCCAGGTGACTACCTCATGAAGCTGATTGAGAGAATGCCAAGCGTGTGCAGAGCTGTCATCAAGGCAAAGGGTGGCTATTTGAAGAATCTCAAATATAAAATATATTTTGATTTGTTTAACACTTTTTTGGTTCCTACATGATTCCATAGGAGTTATTTAATAGTTTTGATGTCTTCACTATTATTCTACAATGTAGAAAATAGTCAAAATAAAGAAAAACCCTTGAATGAGTAGGTGTTTTAAAACTTTTGACCGGTAGTGTATTTTACTACCTAGAAACAGGAATAAAGGCAAAGATAAAGAAAATGCTATTAACTCGCACATTTCCATAATGTGTCATTTTTTCCCTGTATATTAAGATGTTAGTGTTGGTGCAATAACCATTCTAGTTTTATGGTGTTATGGAATGTTGCTACTGTAAACTATTTTTTGGAGAAAATATGCAAAACTCTGTTTTACCTTATCTGACAAGCAGAACTGATTGAATAAGTGATGTGGATGATTTTTTTGTTTGTTGCACATTTATGTAACTAACAAAATAAAGAAGAGAATAAGTAGAGATAAATAAATGCATACTTGATATAACCACACGTTTCATTCTCTTTGCCAGCTTGTACCTGCCAAACAGGTTCCATACTTGAAGTTACTGGGCACCTTAAACTCTTAGCATTTGGCAGACAATGCATGGACCCATTCCACTCAAAGAACTTCAGTGATGCTACAGCTGATCTGTCTCCCATCCAACACTGATCAGCGATTGCTTTTAATGGGAGCAGCACAATAATCAGGGCCTCTCTTACACCACCTCTGCAAAGGAGTGAGCAGGTTCTCCCATTGATAATTGTCTTTTTTGCACTCAGCCAAGGAAGGTGCTATTTTTCCCTCTTGAAGCCACAGCTCATTAAACTCAGTCCAGGCAGACATATGGCAGGATGTTCAGCTTGCTCTCATCCCCATGTGAGTCTAAGGAAATGCACTCCGTCCAATCATACCAGTTGTCCTTTGTGTCATAGCAACCGTTCACCCCAGGCCAGTGCTCCTTGTGTATTCTGTTGAGATCCTCGTTTGTGACCTCTCGGCTCACCCCTGGTAAGTCCGTCTCAGGGATATTTGGTACCAGCATGTGTTTTTTTCTGCCCTCTTTGATATGATGTTCCTCATGTTTCAAGTACTCAGACATAAAGTTTGCCCCCGAGGTTTGAGCCCCAGACGATGTGAGCACATTGCTTTGACGGTTAAGGTAGGACTGGATGATTTCATTCCTCGACAGCTCTTTCCAGTTGGTCTGTTGAAAGGGACTTGGAGTAACAGGGGTATTCTGTGCACATTGGTTCTGCTTGAGCAGTTCTGTCCGAGGAAGTTCTGGTGTGACCGGAGCCACTGTAGCCTCCTGTTCCGGGTAAAACTCTTTGTGGGTCGAGGGTTTGATCTGCCCTGTTACAGGGTCAAACGTAAGTCTACGGTCTTTTAACCTACATGGCTTTGTGGTCTCTTCCGTGGGCTGCCCACCCAAGTTCACTGTATAGTCTCTGGACCTGTATTTCTTTCTCTTTCTCTCTGTGCTAGAGACAGCACCATCGCCCTCTGCCTTCACCTCCTCACTGTGGGACGAGGCTTTGGAGTTGTGCAGCGAGTCGGGTCTCCTGGTACTTTGCTGAAGACGTTGGTCCAAGTCTGATGGTCCGTCCCAATGAAGGGCGGACTCTGTAGGCAGAGGCCCAACAGTGAGGGAACCCTGGATACATGATGTTAAAAGCTGTGGAGAACGCAAAGGAGAGGGCACCAGTCTAGAGCTGTCCATAACCCTGGGGCTCTGAGCAGGGCTCAGTAGAGTCGTTGATTTGGGCGTAGACAGTTTAACTACTGTGTCCTGTTTCGTACTTCTGGGACTATACGAGTTGCTGCGGGGGCTTTTGGGCTGATGCGGCCCCCCTCCTGAGACAGCCAGGTCCATTTTGCCCTGCTGTTGCAAAACAGCAGTTTTGAGCAATGCGGAAGTGCTAGGAGGTTTGGCGAGTCCCGGTGAGCTAGGGTGAGGTTTGACGGCGTTGACAGGGATTTTGTTGAGCCTGTCAATGTCAAGATGCTCAGCACCATCCTTGTCTGATTTCAGATGTGCATGAGGGTCAAATGTGTCCGTAAAAGCCTCAGAGCTTGCCCCAATTCCATTTGTTGGCAGTTGTGAGTTTTGTGTTCTTTCATAGGCGGTTGTTTTGGAGATTTTCACTGGTATGTGATGTCTGTCCCTCTGCTCCACCTTGCGTTTTCGGTTGCCCGACTTTTCCGCTTTGGGGGAGTAACGGTTGTTGAAGTCATTTCTACTCTTGAGCTCCGGAACCATTTTACCTGAAGGTGGGATGGTAGCTGGAGGGGAGACGTCCGTCCGGCATGGATGCATACCACCGTTGGCAGCGCCTGGCGGACCCATATACGCCTTGGATAGTGACTCACTCTGCCCAGGCTCAATTAGCTTCTGCCAGGTGCGCAGGAGCTTCTTTGCACGCTTGGCGAGATCCTCATCCTTTGTCTTTTTCCTTACGTCATTGATCAGCTTGCCAAGGCGGGTTTCCTTGAGGAAGAACAGGAAGGTTTTTTTAGTACAAACCCCATCTTTACAACATATATTTCCAAGAGCTGACACATATGCATATTTGCCCCTAGCGTTACCTACCTCAAGTGCTTCCTTGGTGATGGGATATTTCTCCAAATAGGAAATGACCTCCATTACAGCCACCATGTTGCAGATCTGCTGGAAAGTAAACATCAAATCATGTTAAACTAATAAAGGAAGACATAAAATGGCCAGAGGAAAACCCTCAATTACTCTTTACAAAGACAGATGAGACATTTGGATATTTGTTGATTGATTTGTTGATCTGGACATTTCTGATAAGTTATAAATAGCCATCTAAGGCAGTGTTTCCCCACCCTGGTCCTCGATTACCCCCAACAGTACACAGTTTCGTTGTAGCCATTGACAAACACACCTCATTCAACTCTTTGAGGGCTTGATGATTATTTGTCAAGTTGAATTAGGTGTGCTTGTCCAGGGTTACAATAAAAATGTGTACTGTTGGGGGTACTCGACTGACATGACAAGAGGAAAACTAATGATACACTACCTAATTTCGAAATTGCACCTTGTGCATTTTACTATTACAACTTTCAAGAGTATGTTGAAAGCTGGACTGAGTTTCTTAAAAAAAACGAACAAAAATAGATGATGCCTAACGGATCGGTTCCTCAGATCAATGGATGTATGGATGTACCCCCCCCCCCCCCCAAACATTAGCCTACACAGCCAAAACCACTTGTACAATGCAAATAGTAGTCTGTCAGTAGCCTATCAAGATGTCCATGGTGTAGCCATCTCTGTATAACAGAATTCTCACTGATGAATTTACTTTTGTTGATTATCAAATACAAACGGCTGTTATTCAGATTAGCACCCCACAGCGATTTCCCCTGCAAAATGTGGACGACAACAGCATATAGCTAAATTTGAATGGACTTTCAGATGTGCACCTGTACCGGGGATGTAAACCGATAGCAGTTTGAGATGACAAAACTGAGAATATACATGCAAATGTTAGCCATTCTAGTCATACCAGTAAGGTGCATTATTAGGCGAATCTTACCCAATCCACTAAATCTGACTGGCTAGGTTTATTAATTTTCAAAAAACTTGGCTCATCAATAAGGGGGTTTTGTGCAAGATCTGTTCAAGTTCAACTAAAAGTGTTTATACACCATTTCAGTATATATATATATATATATATATATAAAATAAAAACAGATCAAATCTGTGCTCTGAATTGGCTCAATGAATATTATGCTGTAAGCCTTGGCAGAGAGAGGTTATTTTCAGCAGTGTATGACTATTAGTGCTGAGTGATTAACCAACATTTTAGGGGGGGGGGGGGGGGTTCGGTTATCATTACATTTACATTTTAGTCATTTAGCAGACGCTCTTATCCAGAGCGACTTACAGTTAGTGAATACATGTTTTTTCTATACTGGCCCCCTGTGGGAATCAAACCCACAACCCTGGCGTTGCAAACGCCATGCCCTATCAACTGAGCTACATCCCTGCCGGCCATTCCCTCCCTTCCCGTCCATTCCCTTCCCTTGCTACAGACCCCCCTCAGCCCCCAGCTGTGCCCTGGACACCATATGTGAATTGATTGCCCCCCATTTATCCTCAGAGTTCGTACTGTTTGGTGACCTAAATTGGGATATGCTTAATCCCCCAGCCATCCTACAATCCAAACTAGATGCCCTCAACCTCACGCAAATTATCAACGAACCTACCAGGTACAACCCTAAATCCGTAAACATGGGTACCCTCATAGATATCATCCTGACTAACATACCCTCTAAATACACCTCAGCTGTCTTCAACCAGGATCTCAGCGATCACTGCCTTACTGCCTGCGTCCGTAACGGGTCCGCGGTCAAACGACCACCCCTCATCACTGTCAAACGCTCCCTAAAACACTTTAGCGAGCAGGCCTTCCTAATTGACCTGGCCCAGGTATCCTGGATGGATATAGATCTCATTCCGTCAGTAGAGGATGCCTGGTTGTTCCTTAAAAGTAATTTCCTCTCAATCTTAAATAAACATGCCCCATTCAAAAAATACAGAACTAAGAACCGATATAGCCCCTGGTTCTCCTCAGACTTGACTGCCCTTGACCAGCACAAAAACATCCTGTGGCGTACAGCATTAGCATCAAATAGCCCCCGCGATATGCAACTTTTCAGGGAAGTTAGGAACCAATATACACAAGCAGTCAGGAAAGCAAAGGCTAACTTTTTCAAACAGAAATTTGCATCCTGTAGCACTAACTCCAAAAAGTTTTGGGACACTGTAAAGTCCATGGAGAATAAGAGCACTTCCTCCCAGCTGCCCACTGCACTGAGGCTAGGAAACACTATCACCACTGATAAATCTACAATAATCGAGAATTTCAACAAGCATTTTGCTACAGCTGGCCATGCTTTCCATCTGGCTACCACTACCCCGGCCACCAACTCTGCACCCTCTGCTGCAACTTGCCCATGCCCCCCCCCCCGCTTCTCCTTCACACAAATTCAGACAGCTGATGTTTTGAAAGCGCTGCAAAATCTGGACCCCTACAAATCAGCTGGGCTAGACAATCTGGACCCTTTCTTTCTAAAACTAGCCGCCGAAATTGTCGCAACCCCTATTACTAGTCTGTTCAACCTCTCTTTCATAACGTCTGAGATCCCCAGAGATTGGAAAGCTGCCGCGGTCATCCCCCTCTTCAAAGGGGGTGACACTCTAGATCCAAACTGCTACAGACCTATATCCATCCTGCCCTGCCTTTCGAAAGTATTTGAAAGCCAAGTTAACAAACAGATCACCGACCATTTCGAATACCACCGTACCTTCTCCGCTATGCAATCCGGTTTCCGAGCTGGTCATGGGTGCACTTCAGCCACGCTCAAGGTCCTAAACGATATTATAACCGCGATTGATAATAGACAGTACTGTGCAGCCGTCTTCATCGACCTGGCCAAGGCTTTCGACTCTGTCAACCACCGCATTCTTATTGGCAGACTAAATAGCCTTGGTTTCTCAAATGACTGCCTCGCCTGGTTCACCAACTACTTCTCAGATAGAGTTCAGTGTGTCAAATCGGAGGGCCTGTTGTCTGGACCTATGGCAGTCTCTATGGGGGTGCCACAGGGTTCAATTCTTGGGCCGACACTTTTCTCCGTGTATATCAATGATGTCGCTCTTGCTGCTGGTGACTCTCAGATCCACCTCTACGCAGATGACACCATTTTGTATACATCTGGCCCTTCATTGGACACTGTTAACAAACCTCCAAACGAGCTTCAATGCCATACAACACTCCTTCAGTAGCCTCCAACTGCTCTTAAACACTAGTAAAACTAAATGCATGCTTTTCAATCGAACGCTGCTGGCACCCGCCCACCCGACTAGAATCACCACTCTCGACGGGTCTGACCTAGAGTATGTGGACAACTACAAATACCTAGGTGTCTGGTTAGACTGTAAACTCAACTTCCAGACTCACATAAAGAATCTCCAATCCAAAGTTAAATCTAGAATCGGCTTCCTATTTCGCAACAAAGCCTCCTTCACTCATGCTGCCAAACATGCCCTCGTAAAACTGACTATCCTACCGATCCTTGACTTCGGCGATGTCATTTACAAAATAGCCTCCAACACTCTACTCAGCAAATTGGATGTAGTCTATCACAGTGCCATCCGTTTTGTCTCCAAAGCCCCATACACTACCCACCACTGTGACCTGTACGCTCTTGTTGGCTGGTCCTCACTACATGTTCGTCGTCAAACCCACTGGCTCCAGGCCATCTATAAATCACTGCTAGGCAAATCCCTGCCTTAGCTTAGCTCATTGGTCACCATAGCAGCACCCACCCGTAGTCTGCGCTCCAGCAGGTATATCTCACTGGTCATTCCCAAAGCCAACACCTCCTTTGGCCGCCATTCCTTCCAGTTCTCTGCTGCCAATGACTGGAACGAATTGCAAAAATCTCTGAAGCTGGAGACTCTTATCTCCCTCAATAACTTTAAGCATCAGTTGTCAGAGCACCTTACCGATCACTGCACCTGTACACAGCCCATCTGAAATTAGCCCACCCAACTACCTCATCCCTATATTGTTATTTATTTTGCTCTTTTGCACCCCAGTATCTCTATTTGCATATAATCTCTTGCACATCTAGCATTCCAGTGTTAATACTATTGTAATTATTTTGCACTATAGCCTATTTATTGCCTTACCTCCATAACTTGCTACATTTGCACACACTGTATATATATTTTCTGTTGTATTTTTGACTTTATGTTCTTTACCCCATATGTAACTCTGTGTTGTTTTTATTGCACTGCTTTGCTTTATCTTGGCCAGGTCGCAGTTGTAAATGAGAACCTGTTCTCAACTGGCTTACCTGGTTAAATAAAGGTGAACAAATAAAAATAAAAATAATAATAATAATAATACCCTGGACGACGCTGGGCCAATTGTGCGCCGCCCATGAGTCTCCCGGTCGCGGCCGGCTGCGACAGAGCCTGGATTCGAACCAGGAGAGCACAGTTAGCTCTCCACAGTTAGCTCTCCTAGTGGCACAGTTAGCACTGCGATGCAGTGCCTTAGACCACTGCGCTTAGACCAGGAGCACTGAAACAAATAATTGACCAACAATGGTTCAATAACTTCAATTCCATTTAGTTCGTTTTTTGCTCACGCCGTTTCTCAGATATGGCTAGAAAGACTCCAGCTTTTGTCAAAGTAACGTCAAAATTTGAAATGTTTGTATTTTGTCAAAGTAACGTCAAAAATTGAAGTGTTTGTATTTGAGCTAACCCTAAACCTTTTCCTAACCTTGACCTAATTATTCTAACCTGCTGCGAAAAGTAAAATATGACGTTAATTTGACAAAAGCTGGAATCCCTTCTAGCCATGACCCCGTTTCTCGTTCACGAGAAAAATTAAAGTCAAGATATGAGACGCTGGGCTGATGGGAGTTGTAGTTTTCCATAAGCAAATATTCAACCTAGTTCAGCGCACAAACGTGGTAATTAACTACAATGGCAATAATCCATTGCGGCTGTTCTTTTCCGGCTCAAAGTAAATACACTTTTACGCCTGCTCCGTTAGGTAAGATACACACAGACCGCAAACACCGCCGCATGAGAGCGGAATGTACACAACACTACGACGAGAGAGGGATAGAGACAGTTCGTGAAAGTCAGTTGTGGAAAAAGTACCCAATTATCATACTTGAGTAAATGTAAAGTTAACTTAATAGAAAATAACTCAAGTAAAATTCACCCAGTAAAATACTACTTGAGTAAAAATCTAAAAGTATTTGGTTTTAAATATACTTAAGTATCAAAAGTAAAAGTATAAATGATTTCAAATTCCTTATATTAAGCACACCTGACAGCACAATGTGTTTTTTAAATTATGGATAGCCAGGGACACGCTCCAACACTCAGGCATAATTTACAAATGAAGCATTTATGTTTAGTGAGTCCGCCAGATCAGAGGCAGTAGAGATGTTCTCTTAATAAGTGTGTGAATTGGACCATTTTCCTGTCCCGCTAAGCATTCAAAATGTAACAAGTACTTTTGGGTGTCAGGGAAAATGTATGGAGTAAAAAGTACATTATTTTCTTTAGGAATGTAGTGAAGTAAAAATTGTCAAAAATATAAATAGTAAAGTAAAGTACAGATACCCCAAAAAACTACTTAAGTAGTACTTTACACAACTGGTGAAAGTATGCCTTATCTACTTTGAAAAACTAGTAAAATTATGGTCTGACATCTCTGCAGCATACAGTACTTAGACAGTACAGTATGGTTGTCTGGCTGGCTGGCTGCTACTGCCTGAGCCGAGAAGAGATTACTTTAAGGAATGAAAAATAATAAAATCAAATAAAACGAAGTAATATACACAACTGAAATATTTTATTATTTCATAGTAATTTCCTATTTTTCTATGTAGACCTGACATAGACAATGCAATATTTTCATTTTCACTATTTTTGGCTTTGGAATTTACATTAAAAAGCTCTTATCATTTAATGTTATTATTTCATAATGCATGTACAAAATAATGTTAAACAGAAATACGTGATATATATTTTTTAATCGAACCGACTTCAAAAAGCACTAAATTGCTCAGCACTAATGCCTATGATGACAGGTAGGCTACAGACCGTAGGCAACAAGTCTTGACCAACAGACTTGGCAAGCAGCCTTGTAATGTGTTGTCACTTAAACAACACTTTTGGTTGCCTCAGCCATTTCTTTCATGAGAACACTTCGTTAATCACATAATGAACATACAAGTAGTTGGGCCTTTGTGACTGATGGCACCCATACTAAGCCTACAATACAAACTGATCCAAGTCTGGCTGTGCTGAATATGTGTTTTGTGCCCTTTCAATTTAAACATTCTTGTCTGTCTGTCAAATTCTCTTTACTGGGTAATAGGCCTAATCACTGTGACTGTAGGTGTGAATGCTACAGGTAGCTAATTACATTAACATTTACATTTTAGTCATTTAGCAGACACTCTTATCCAGAGCGACTTACAGTTAGTGAGTGCATACATTATTTAATTTTTTTCATACTGGCCCCCCATGGGAATCGAACCCACAACCCTGGCGTTGCAAACGCCATGCTCTACCAACTGAGCTACATCCCTGCTGGCCATTCCCTCCCCTACTCTGGACGACGCTGGGCCAATTGTGCACCGCCCCATGGGTCTACATTATATGTGATTACCAAAGGCATTGCTGACGTTGGTGCTAGGTTAAGGTCAGGTCATTCTTCTACTTAGTTAGCTGGTTAGCTAGCTGCAGTGCCTAGTAAGCAGCACTAGCTGGATGTCCACACTCACCAGTCTGCTTGGTCCTAACTTAAGTCAGTAAAAGGGTAGCGGACTAAACTCCAGTTAAGTGGCAACTTAAGCAACAGTACTGTTCCCAACATCTAACTATACTGAACAAAAAGAAACGCAACATGCAACAATTTCATTGATTTTACTGAGTTAAAGTTCATTTGAGGAAATCAGTCAATTGAAATAAATTCATTAAGCCCTAATCTATGGATTTCACATGACTGGGAATACAGATATGCATCAGTTGGTCACAGATACCATAAAAAAAAAAAAATGGGCCTCACAATGGGCCTCAGGATCTCGTCATGGTATTTTTGAGCATTCAAATTGTCATCGATAAAATGCAATTGTGTTCGTTGTCCGTAGCTTATGCCTGCCTGCCCATACCATAACCCCACCATGGGCACGGTCTTCACAACATTGACATAAGCAAACCGCTCTCCCACACGGCGCCATACACGTGGTCTGCGGTTGTGAGGCCAGTTGGACGTACTGTCACATTCTCTAAAATGACGTTAGAGGCGGCTTATGGTATAAAAATGAACATTCAATTCTCTGGCAACAGTTCTGGTGGACATTCCTGCAGTCAGCATGCCAATTGCATGCTCCCTCAAAACTTGAGACATCTGTGGCATTGTGCTGTGTGACAAAACTGCACATTTTAAAATGCCCTTTTAATGTCCCTAGCACAAGTTGCACCTGTGTAATGATCAAGCTGTTTAATCAGCTTCTTGATATGCCACACCTGTCAGATGGATGGATTATCTTGGCAAAGGTGAAATGCTCACTAACAGGGATGTAAACAAATTTGTGCACAACATTTGAGAGAAATAAGCTTTTTGTGGGTATGGAACATTTCTGGGATCTTTTATTTCAGCTCATGAAACATGGGACCAACACTTTACATGTTGTGTTTATATTTTTGTTCAGTGTAGTTAGCTTGCTTTCTAGTTAGCTAACATTAAGCTTCGAATGTCAAAACGAACTAGCTAGCTGTGCTAAATGACAGGTAGGCAGCTAGTTAGTTTTAATAGCATAACTGAGACAGGTTGAAAACACTGAATTATAATAACGGTTGAGAACATTGATTGATTTATACTATTGGTTGAGAACCGAATATGTCAACATGCTAGCCTTGCAAGCCGCCTGATCTCGCGAGCTTACACGAATAGTTCGCTAGCAACACAGCGGTATTGTTTATACGAGGCTATCAAGATGCTGGGGGACAGTCCAGAGTCCAGTGTGTTTAGCTAACTACCTACTACACAGCTAATTAACTATCTTAGTAACTAGTATTTACTTAGCTCATCTAACAAACTCTTAGATTTAGCTAGCAGGCTTCCAGCTAACTAACGCGCGTCAGCTAGCAGGCTACCACACTGGCTCAGATAACGTTAACTAGCTAGCTACTGTAGTTAGCTAACGTTAGATGTCGACGTTTGTCATAAAACTTCACAATAGGGAACCATTGCAATTGTGGGAACAGGCACTTAAAATTGGTTGAAACATTACGTTAACTCACATTGCTTTGGCCATCGATGGCCTGCATCAGCCGGTCTCTCATCTGCTGCGGAGTTGCCGTAGCCGCTGTCATTGCCTGGCAGTGGTGCGGATCAGTACAGTAACGTTTGACAGGGGAGAGGAATCCTCCGAAAAGACGGGTGGGTGACTTACAGACACTCACAGGCCTTTCGGGATATGTGCTAGTAAATAAAGCCCCATATTCTATGGCGCTTTATTGTTTGTCCAGGTGTATTCATGTATTTCGCAATGAATAACTATCTCCAGATAAAGGATCGTCCAAATACTCATGTGTCCGACTGCCTCTTCGGCAGTACCCAACGCTGTGGCAGTGGTCTTTCAACATCGATTTCTCTGCTGTTGAAAAACGCTCTCCTGGTGCATGGTGGGAAATTTTGTAACACAGAAACGTCAGATGTTGTTGTCACCACGTACACTGCCATCGACTGTGAATGTATCAACATTAGCAGGTATTATTTTTGAATACCTTCAGTTTCATTACTGGGTTGTCATATTGCATTATGGATGTGTAACCAAACACTAGCTGGACAACGTGGTCTCAGAGCATTTCGTATTATTCTGTATGTATACTGAACAGAAATATAAACGCAACAATTTCAACAATTTTACTGAGTTACAGATCATCATAAGGAAATCAGTCAATTGAAATAAATTCATTAGGCCTTAATCTATGTATTTCACGACTGGGCAGGGGCATAGGCCCACCCACTGGGAAGCCAGCCCCAGCCAATCAGAATGAGTTTTTCCCCACAAAAGGGCTTTATTACAGACAGAACTACTCCTCAGTTTCATCAGCTGTCCGGGTGGCTGGTCTCAGACGATCCAGCAGGTGAAGAAGCCGGATGTGGAGGTCCTGGTCTGGCGTGGTTACATGTGGTCTGCGTTTGTGAGACAGGTTGGACGTACTGCCAAATTCTCTAAAACGATGTTGGAGGTGGCTTATGGTAGAGAAATTAACATTCAATTCTCTGGCAACAGCTCTGGTAGACATACCTGCAGTCAGCATGCCAATTGCACGCTCCCTCAAAACTTGAGACATCTGTGGCATTGTGTTGTGTGACTAAACTGCACATTTTAGAGTGGCCTTTTATTGTCCCCAGAACAAGGTGCACCTGTGTAATGATCATGCTGTTTAATCAGATTCTTGATATGCCACACCGGTCATGTGGATTAATTATCTTGGCAAAGGAGAAATGCTCACTAACAAGGATGTAAACAAATTTGTGCACAACATTTGAGAGAAGCTTTTTGTGCATATGGAACATTTCTGGGATCTTTCATTTCAGCTCATGAAACATGGGACCAACACTTTACATGTTGCGTTTATATTTTTGCAGCCCTGCAAATTAGGGCCTAATGAATTTATTTATATTGACTGATTTCCTTATATGAACTGTAACTCAATAAAATCGTTGAAATTGTCGCATTTATATTTTTGTTCAGTATAGTTGCAGAGTTGCTAATTAGCTAAAATGCTTAAGTTGTCTGTGATGAGATTCAAACATGGAACCTTTGGGTTGCTAGACGTTTGCGTTATACACCCGACCAACCACCCTCCTTTCATTTTTGCCTTAAGTAACCTTCTGTCTTCTGTAACCATACCAAACGTAACATATCTAATGAGTGTCACGGATTTACGTTTACTATGTTAAGTCTAGTCTGAGACTAAACATTTTGTAGGTCTCAATTGAATACATTTAGCATGAACAGTAGAGCCCAACAAATACATTCTGATAAAATGTCAAAGCTGTAGCCTATATAGGCCTATGCACATTAATTTAATTGATGAATCAAGTCTTAATGCACAAATGTTTGACATGCTTACACAGGTGAGTGAGTGTGTGTGTGTTAAACAGTGCACGATTAAGTACAGCAACCAAATAAGGTTGAGAACCACTGAAACACTACTCAAATACCAGTATAGGAAAGGAAAAGAAGAAATGAAAAAGGTAAGATGAAAACATCAAGTGCATTTCAGAGTAAAGGTTTATTATACAGAACTAGATTATAGTCAAAAGTATGCAACAAAGCAATGATGAAATGAAGTCTTACTGCTGGTAACATCAGAAGGCCTATGTACGACAAACATCAAACGTCTAAAATGGTTGTGGATTTACATATTTTCTCATTGTATTCACAAGTTTTAGAAGAAAATGAGGACCATAAAACACAGGTCAGCAACTCAAATAAGATAGTAAAAGCCTGAAAGGAACTGAAAAGTATGAAGAAAACAGCCAAGACTCCAATGTTTCGTATATTCGAAGTTGAATAAACAAGGAGGTCCAAATCTCTACATGTAGGAATAAGTGTTATATTGTGCAGAATAATCTTCTTACTGAAAAGTACAGGCAAGACATTGAGATATATAAATACATACAAGGTAACTGCAAAGAATGGTCGTGGGTCGCAGGATCTGACATGAGCAACCCATCAAAGAATCTCAACTCGAAAAAGATTGAATATTTAGTGTGTTTTTTTGATGTTGCAGGGGTCCCCAATCCAACAACAAAGTTGATCACGATCCAAACAATCTGTAAGTGTAATAGACATGGGCAATAAATTCACAATACATTATAGTCAATATGGGGTATACCTTTTGAGGCACAGAAGCACCCCAGTGTGAAAAGTACTATTATAAACTGGGTGGTTCAAGCCCTGAATGCTGATTGGCTGAAAGCCGTGGTATATCAGACTATATACCACAGGTATGACAAAACATTTATTTTTACTCTTGTAATTACGTTGGTAACCAGTTTATAATAGCAATAAGGCACCTTGGGGATTTGTGGCATATGGCCAATATACCAAGGCTAAGGGCTGTATCCAGGCACTCCGCGTTGCGTCGTGCTTAAGAACAGCCCTTAGCCATGGTATATTGGTCTCATACCACACCCCCTCGGGCCTTATTGCTTAAATAGATTACCCTCTACAAGATGGCAGATACTTACAGAATCATGCAAAACATCATGAAGATGTTCCATAAGGCAATGAAGATCCGGAAGTATCGTAGACTCAGGAGGAACTCCCTGATGTTGTCACCTAAAACAAATACGCCATGACATCATTTCAGATCTATAGAGAGCTTCATTGTGTGTTCATGGACCTGTCCATCTAGCCCATTCGTCGATGCTAACTACCTTGTAAACGGAAGACTGACGCCACAAACGTGTTGTCACTGAAAAATACTGTTGGATGCAACTGTTAAAACAGTAAGTATATTTTGCATTTGTGAAATTAATTTGATGTGATATGAAAGTAGAGGGCTTTATGTGTCTAGAACCATACAGCAATTGAGAATCAATTCACGTTTAGATGGAGTATTTGGCTGTTTTGGCTGCAAGAGCCAATTCACCTCTAAAGAGAACATGTAAGGTTCTTGTACTATAAGGAGTAAGGTTAGGCGCCTTTAGTCCAATATTGGGCTGATGTCCATCATGCAATGGAGTGTACCAATTGTGCTTCAGACCAACTCAAAGGCTCAGAGGAAGGTGTACAAACAAAGCATAAACATCAGCCATATCTGCCTACAGCCTAATGTTCTTGAAAAATAGATGATCTATCTCAATGCAGACTTCTTGAGTGTCCCTACTTTTTCATGGATAGTTACCCTGTGAAGTTTTCTGGGGTGAGGTTTTTAATGCACCATCATGTATCACACACCTGTAGTTGGTCCACGAGGTTCATCTCCAAATCCTCCATGTGACTCCTTTCTCTTTCTGTAATAGAGGACAGTGTTGTTTGTCTTGTATTGATGAGCTAGTAAAAATAATATGGGGTCCAGCAATATTGGCTGTTACTAGTGTTAGCATGCACAACCAGCACAATGTCTTCAGGGCAGTGGCGGTTTTACACGGAGGCCGGGGGAGGCCCGTGCCTCCCTGGAAATGTCCCTGGCCACCCCTGTGGCCCCCCCGTGCTGACCAAATAAAAAATTATGAATTTATAACTATTTTACACGCGAGCGCCAAAAGCGGAACTAATGCAACGCTCTACACGGCAACGTTCTACACGGGTAAATTAGAGTGGCGCACCCGAAGGTCGAAGGTAAGCAAAACGATTTAATATCATAAGTGACTTGTTGTTCTTGCACATAGCCTACATGTTCGTTTTGTTCCTCACACATAAATCAAATCAAGTTTTTAAATGTCTGGTCTCGATTTGTTTAGAAATGTAATCATATCTAAGCAAACTCATCGAAGCAGAAGCAAATATCCAAATGTTAGTAGGCTATCCTTGCTAGGTCTACACAATGTTGTGATGTTAACCACGTAACTTCATCCGTCTTGGCTGTTGCATCGCGATAACAAATACATTTTTAGTAAAGTAATCAACAGGTTATCTGCCAGTGTTAAGTAGGGAGGGATGGTTAGGTAACAAAATGTAATGCATGCCCCTACGTTTTTTCTTCTTCTAATAGTTATCATGAAACGAGGAAGGGACATAAAGTCATTTTTTGCCCCAGCAAACAAAAAAGTTAAATAGAGTTTATGATTTTATTCTTTTGAATTATCTCTGCCAAACATCTATGTACTACAAATCTTCAAGCTCCACAGATGTTTTATGGCATCCACTAAACCTCTTTAGATATTTGTAAATTATACAGTGTGATACCTTTCAACGAAAGTTTATTTTATTTTTTACCAACTATGATTTTTCCTTTTGAAAACAAGCAAAGCAAGAAAAAAAAGAAACAAAATCACTCCAATCATTGCACACTTGTGTCGTTCAGACTTTGCAGGTCCAGCTTTGACATGATGATCTAACTAACACTAATATTGTAACTAATATTGTAACTGAAATATGTATGATCCTATGATGAGCGATTGCTTACTTCCCTTTCACTCTTAAAAAATTACTGAAAAAAAATGTGTATAAAAAGGTATATGTAGTATATGTTTGTTTAGTGAGCATTCATGCTGTCATTTTTTCCTAATGTGAACTATGGTGGAAATGTGCTGTCCTAAATGGACTTGCCCATATATGTTGTAAAGCCTTTTTTTGTACACCTGCTCATCAACTGACAGTGAAGTACACAAAGACACAGACACACAC